TATATATATATATATGAGGGGGGGGTGCGTGCGTGTATTTTTTCCCATTTTTTTAGTTGGCCCTATTTCAATACAGTTTACAAAAGCAATTTTGTAAGAATTGTCATTTCAAATTAAATTATTCTTAATATTTAATAATATGAGAAAATATTGATGGGTAATGGACTTTGGATCTTTTCACTTTAATTTCCTTTCGTTATAATGATTTAATGAAGTTTACATAATATTAATGATGGTTTTGTTAGTGTTTAATTAATATATCTTTACATATTTATTAATTCATTACAATTTACACATTAAATATTTTCATAAAAAGTGCAGGAATTGTAGGATGTGGTTCATAATGCCGTTGATAGAAAACACAAATATATATATATAAGTTATGTCTCTCAAAAATTTAATTTCTCATTAACGTATTCTTTTCTCTTAAATAGAGAAATTTAAACATTTCACAGAAATGCAATATTTAAATAATAAAGGAATTAGAATATCATGTAAAAACAATGACTACTGTACTTCATTTCAAAACTTATCAAACACACATTTCTAACATATCATTCAGTGTTCATGTCTATTTTCCTCAAATATAAAAGCATTTCGAGGAATGCAAAAATAATGAAAAATGATCAGGGTATTTTTAATGCTAATAACCAAAGAAAAGAAATATGGAATATCGTTAAAAAATAAGACCATGTTATCTTGAAATTTTGAGAGAATGTTGTTTTAAAGGATAACGATAGAGAAGTAAGGTATCCAGTAACAGTATAAAGTCTCTTCAACTAACAGCTTTCCACAATTGTGGTTGATCTCGTGAAGAAATTAAAATCTTAATTATTTCAATCAATTATTATCACGATTATTTCCGAAAATTCTTCCACTGAAGTAGTCAGTGGAAGAATATGTTAGAATAGTCTGCAAAATAGTGTAGATGTATAACCTAGCTAATAATTTATACATCAAATTCTACTCAAATGAGAAATGTATGTATCAAATTAAAAATGCCTTGCTAAATGATTTCTCCTGGGTGTTAATGTCAAGATGATATTGTACAGGAACAAACATGTGGAATAAATTGATTGTGTAAAATTATACATATTTCTAACGGCAATTGCCTGTTCAAATAAATAAATAAAAAATAATATACTCAGCTGGATTACATGCATTTTCAGTTTCTTTATTAATAACTTGTGCGCCTGTTTATATACACTTGTTACCATTATCAATTGTTCTTTACACACAGGAATATTTTCAAAAATTAAGCCACTTCCTACATTCTCGTATATATAGTAATATACATAGTTTAGAGAAGGCTATATAGTAGTGCCGTTTAGATTGCAGAAAAAAAATGTGTTCAAAACAAATGCTACCCATGGGATCTCTGCAAGCCTTGATTCATTGAGTTTGGAATCTTAATTGACTACTTATTTACGAATCTGTAGTTTTTGTCAAAACTGACGTACCTACGAGTAGGAACATATTTTCATGCAATATAGATATTTATAATTACAACACATGTTGTAGGAATCATATTCATCAGGTGTCAACAGCTCACTACAAGAAATCTACATTAAGAACACGTATGTTACTTCACAACATAATGCCAGATGACATTACACAATTAAAATCAATATACAAGTTTTAGTGTGAAGTTAAAATCTTTTCTGCTGCATAACTGTTTCTGTACAATTACAGACTCTAATGACCTTAAATTTTTTTTTATTTACAAATTATATATAATGCATTAATTAACATTATTATTGTAAGATTTTAAAGACTAAATAAGCTTGTAACAAATAATATAGTTCAGCTTGTGGATCAATGACCCCTATTTCCATCAGGTTTTTCATCTACTTTCCTTGATCCATTGAGCAAATGCTCAGAGGTCCCCTCATTTTGCTTCTGAACCTAAATATAACTTCACTATTAGCATGATTTATTGAGCTCTCACATTGCTAATTGTGGTAGGAGTACTGCTGGGGATTGGGTCGCTATTTTGTTAATAATTCTAAAACTCAAGGCTGTAGTTCGTTCACTGACACAAATAAGTTTTCTATAACTTGGGAGCAAAATTGTCTAATTTTCAAATGTTGCTAATATTGCTTTGTTGGTATTCGTTTAGTCATTCAACTATGTGTGGTAAAAGGGTGAGGAAGAGTTTCTAGAGCTCATACACAAATTATACTTCTCCCCTATACACCAAATACAGTTTTTACTGTTTTTTGACAAAAATAAATCAAATCAAATCAATTAGCCTCCCTTTAGTAACTATCTCAGATATCAGATATATGTGTTTCAGTTCTATATAAAATATGTATATTCTCATTATATATGCTAAGACCAATCATGAATACACAATATTGGAATAGCCAAAGATGGAAAATCAACTCACAAATCTTCTAGCTAAATGCCAACAAAACGTTAAGCCAGTTTTTCATTTCTTGGCTTGTAATCTTCTTTAGACTTGTGTGTGTATGAGTAATTTCTTCAAAAAGTTCAAATAAATTATTCCTAAATGTAGGAGAATGAAGAGAAAATGTCACGCAGAATCCATTGAACTGCTGGTAACCTCTGGCATGAACAGCTCCTGTGTCTTTGAAGTGTTGGTTGTATTCACTAGTTCATCCCATTTTTAAATTTCATTACTGAGACATTAACCAAAGTCTTTTAAGATTGACTTTTGTGTTGCTTATATTGTGGTGAGCATTATTGTACAGAACTAAATGATAATAATGAACGAAGAAAGAAATTATCCTACCAACTTGTGCTTAATCATATTTAACTTGGTGTACTTCTCTCATATATAAAATGCATGCAATAAGAATATATTCCGTTCATTTTTTATTTACGAAGACTATCATCAACATGTTACTCGGGTAATGGGTATAAAATTTGGGTCTAGAGCACCGCAAATTAAAATATGGAAAGAATCAAATACACAGAAGAATGTTTTAAGTCATACTCTTACTTATATTGTTATATTTACATTAGGAATATGCTTTCTTTAAATCTGGTGGTTGCAATGTGTTCCCAATGAAATTAAATAAATATATGGCATGTCAGATTTTGTACCGATGAAGGAAAAGTAAAATTACATTGAAAACTTTAAACTCATTTTCTCAAAACTGTTTTTTGGGTTAAAATGTTCTTCCATCCAACTCCTAAATTATTCCCCAAAACAACAGTAACAGTGTAATAAAATTGTGTTTCTCTCATTATCCCTATTGCTTTAAGACTTGGGCAATGGACCAATTACAATGCAGATATTTTTAATGGGATAGGACATAAATTCTCAGGAAACAGGGAAAATTAAGTCATCATGAGCAAAATTTTAATTAACGAATACTGTCAAGTATATTTAGATTCAAGTTGTGCAAATTTTTGAAGTTATAATCAAGATTTGAAAACACAAGACACTTAAATTCCTGTCTGCCTTTGCTCATGAAAACAATACAAATATTCACAGGAAATGATGAAAAAATCCGAATATCTCCATCATTTCCCATTATTTAAAACATTTAAATGAAAAGAAAATACTCCATTTAAGAAATATTTAACATTTTATTGTATAATATGTAACCAGAAAATGTCCAGTACAGGTCATCTATTGGTTCTAGATTCATAAACACTGCCATACACACATCACCTCCTGGCAATACTCAGTAGATCATTTCTTCGTGTTGGAAGATAAGTGACACAGCTTGAAAACAATATCAAATGCTGCATTGCGGCTTTGTTTGGAATTACTTAAGAGTGGCACCAAAATAGGACTTTACTAAATAAATGCATTGGGTGTTTCTACAAATATGCTCACATTGGGCCATGCTGCTCTACTTGGAGTGTTACAAAGGCAAAAAAGTGAAAATCAGCTAGTAGCTGCGTTGTGCCAGTTGGAAGGATGAGTGTAGAGTACAGGTTTTATACTTTGAATGAATTCTACTGTCCCCCAGACACAGAACAAACAGTATTGTGGTTGAATACAAAAAATGTTCAGTGGCACTGTTTCCCCATGTTCTATTGCATGTATATGAAGTAGATTTAAATTCAATTTGGGTACGAAATTAATGATACACATAACACAAACACTGCTATTGTGATATGAATAATTTCACATACCACCTGGGTTCAACAGTAATTCCAAACAGCATATGAAAAGCACAGGAAGGGCCTGAGGCCAGGAGCAGCAATTAAACATATAGGATGTGCCCTTGGAATTAGTATTTGTGAATACTTCATAAACAATATACACAATTAACCTGTTCAATATACTTCCACTGAATTGGAAATAAGATGAAGGTATGGGGCTGAACAAGAATAGAGGATGAATGTACCGAATTCTCTGAATCGAATTCAGTTCATTTTGTGTCCTGTTGTCTTCTCAACACAAACTAGAATAAAAGGAGAAGAAATCAAAACAGTCAGTCAGTCCATGGCGCCTGGCTTGGTCCCAACTCCTCTCCAAGTACATGTAGCTGCTTCTTGATACTGAGAGGGGGCGGCGTGTCTGTAGCCCCCTACACTTTCAGACTAGGAAATCTCTACAGCTTTCACAGTGCAATGAAAATGCTGGCACTCAAGCATAAAACATAGCCCAACCCAAACCAAAGCAACAGTTCTGCTGCAGTTCACTTTTGTGATGAGGAGTACATGACTCTCATAAACGATACTGGGACTGGGGAGTTCAGTCTTGTGCCAATAACTTGAGAGTGTTCAGGTGTATGATCTTCATACATTGACAGCAGCAAGAGTTACAGAAATATCAACACTGGACTGGCCACCCTATGCCTGCCGCTGCACGCGCATGAAGGGTATTTCATACCAAAGCTTTGCTGCCAATTCACTGTTCACAATTATGGTGAACAGTTGAGTTATCAAAGCTATAAAGAAATATACATATGATACAAACTTACACCAATCTTAGGACAGTCTCTATCTGGCCTATACTCTTATTTAACAAAACCCCAACAAAATATTGGTAAGTAATTTCCCGCAACTTACCATGGTTACAAATTTAAAATTTTGTAGCAGCGTTTACTAAGTGTTCTTTCTTTATATAAAAACGGGGATTTAAAATAATAGCTCTGTAAATCCTCCCACAAATCTACATCCTCATAAGGATACTTTTTGACACTTTTTCTCTAGCATCATTTTCGAGGCACTCATCGTTAGGAAACTATTTTGCTTTTACAATGACAATTAACATTCAGACTGCTGTCCTGTAAGTTTTTGGCCCTTGTACTTAAAAAAAGAAAGATAAGCCAGTGGAGGCAATCAGCAGGCTTCGATCCTCCCTTGCCGCCCCCCCCAGGCTCAGTCACCTGATCCCTACAGTGAATAAATTGCTTCATGGCAGACTTCACTTGCTGCCTTACAGCCTTGCAGCCTCCGGATCACAGTTTGCAGTTACGAAGCATATCACAGTCTTGTCTCACTGGAGCTCAGCTTAGCTCCGCCAGCAGGAGATCAGGTGACTCTCGTCGTCAGCATGTTGATGTCTCCTCTCCTTCAAGAGTGCAGGCCACATTTTCCAATTTGTGTGCTAAATGCATTTTCTTGCAATAGGGGTCAACATCCAGTGCATCCAGGATCTAAGAACATTCCAGCAAACATATTAATTATACACACAACAAAAAACTAGAAACAAAAATTTAAGAATGAACTGAAATTGGTAAACGAGAGCAATATACACAGATATGACAGTAATAATGACATATGTTTGACCTTAACTCAATACCTGAATCTTGAGAAAAACCAAAGCATTATGATTTTGAAATACCTGGTTTGCTCATAACAATGTACATCACACATAACTATCATACATAATATATTATACATCAAACATTTCACAATTCTAATTTCTTTGGTGAAAAACGATCTGATGTTCTCAGAGTTATTAAATCTTTAGGATCAATTCTCTATTTAAACAACTGAAAATACAATTTTCATTTCCATCAGTTTTTTATTATAAGCTTCATACACATAAAACCTCTTACCTAAGTTACTCATTATGAAATGTTTTAAAAATATTTTTCCCATATAAAATAATGCTTTTCCTACATGAATTTTCTATAAACAGTATTTAAAAACTTGAAATAATGTAATTATAGTAGAATCCTGTTTAAAATAACCTGCTTGTGGGACAATAGGTATTGGTTATCCTAATGCACCTTAAAAAAATTATAGACTATCTTCCCGCATGTAAGAGACAGCTCATATGAGTTTCCCACCCATAAAAGGGGAATAATTTTTTTTTTTCGCAAGAGTCATATGTTGAATCAATTTTTCCACATGATGAGATGGGTGATTGTTTTTACTCTCAAGCATCTTTAACAAGAGCTGCAAATAGAAGGGATTCCTCTTTGCAGAAGTACTCTTCCAGAAATAACTAAGCTCATTTGTGAAAGGTGGAAATCTGTTGATACTTTCTATGCATATTGTTAGTGGAAGATGCTTGTAAAAGGAGTGCAACCTCCATCATGCCAATGTCATCATTGTATTCAAGCATGTGGGAACAGTATGAACCATCCATTATTTAACATGAATTCATATTGACACGAGGTCAAAATGACTTCACACTATTACACCATAACAAATTGTAGTGATAGCATCAGGGGTGAATCCAAAGACAAATTTTGGGAGGGGAAATTAAAAATGTTTTGCTCAAATGTGTCATATTACATATTTTGTAAAATGTTGCAGGCTACACTCAGCTCATGCTACAATAAAATTTTATTCGTTGTAATGATTATCCAAAAATATTTCTGCTTGAAAGTTTCATGACAAGTTAAAATAAATAGTTACTGTAAAATTTTAGAAGGAAAAATTTTCCTCATTTCCCTCCCCATGGATCTGCACCTGTAGTATTGAACTATTTCGAACTTTTTACTATTAATCCACATGGAAAGCTGACTTTTCTCTCTGATAATTTTAAGGAACTATTAATTAAGTTTCAACATGATAATTCATTTCATAATAATGAATGAGAAGTGTTACTCATTTGCAGAGCATTATGAATGTTTTGTTTATAGAACTTTCATAAATTATTTATAGATTTTTGCCCCTCCAAATCTAACCCAAGGTTCTGCAAACGGACAATGAAAGACCTGAAGAACATCATTAAGATATGCATCTGGTGTTAAATCTTCACTCAGCTAACACGATTGGGAAAAACATGAGCAGATTCATTATCAATTTACAAGGAATCAACAGCAAAGTTTTCATATTTTATTATTTTTATTCAAATTGTATAAACAATAACCATGCAATCTGATAATTGTGAGTCATCTTGCAATGCTGACTTTAGAAATATTTTATTTAATATGTAGAGCCATACATTACTTAGTATTAAAAACTGTAATAGATCATAGATTCTGTGTACTGTGAACAAAATTTGAAATACAACATTCCGACAGATATGCAAACATTCACGAAAACAAATGTACAAACATTCCCCCAGATATGGGAATTATTTTCTGAATTAAAATTAACTTTATAACTAATGTAAAACAATATTCTACTTTACCTGGTCACTGTACTTTGTAACATAGATGTAAAGTTCCTTGAGCGCTGATACAGTGTCAAATTCACCCAATTGTGAAATAGATAACTGCTGCATGGCTGTACTCATTTCTTGATCTGTGATTTGGGGTAGAATTTGGACGTCACAGTAAAAATGAGACACCATTTCTCGATAATGGGGAATATCCTTGGCAAACAGTAACTTATTAGATGGAGAATCTTTTCCAAGACGGTGTTCAGTTGTAGAGCAAGAATCCATGAATGTTTGAGCAATCACGGACAAGCATGAGTCTACTGTTGTTGTTTTATTAATGTCAAAGATAAAGTCTGGGTTCTTGATAAAATTGACCCAAAATCTCAATGGAAGACTGCAAACAGAAATGCAAAAATTATTAGAACACATGAAGACCACTGAATAAAATATATTTTAAATTAGTATTGATACTTCTTCCCATATTTAAATCAACTCTCTCAATTTTACTTGTCAGTTCCATTAACTGTTCTAATCATACAAATCATGAACCATATGTTAAAGAATATTTCAAATATAGTAGTAGTTTTCACTAACCTGTTAGATTTCCAGGCATGTACTACTTCTGGATCAGCAATACTATGCCTACGGGCAGCCTCGTCCAGAAGATCAAACAACCATTTTACAGCAGGTGGCAATGCATCATTTGCTGTTAAAATTGTGTTGAAGAAATCATCTACAAATTTTTGGATGGTACCTTTTGTGGAGAGAAGTCTCGTCAAAAATATTTCTGGAATTGCTTTATGAGTTCTTTCTGATGTTTTATTATTTTGATAATGATGTTCATCAATTGGTTTAACCAAGTGATATATTCTCAAATTTGAGCCAGCTTCCACATCACCATTAGCAGTAATAATTGGTGATAAAGAATTTGTAAAATATGTACCAGTACCTAAAATGTACAAATACATGATAGAAATTCTTTAATTTAGATAGTTACATGTGAAAAGTCTTTAAAAAAGAATACGTACAATTCTGACATGGCTGTTTACAATTTGCATTGAAGCTATCATTTTGGCGAGGAATAAGAGACATGACAGCAGATTCCTTCACACCATAATGTGCCAACGTGTTCAGTTTCTTCCACCCACCAGTTGATTTTGTGGTCAGATCTTCATCTTGTAATGTTAAGTGACCTCCACGGCCGTGTCTCCATTCTGAAAAGAATTCAAGTTACAACTTCATACATTTTACTGGGCTACTAAGATCAAAACTATTATGACCTCTTCAGTAATGTAAATATTCTTGAATTAAAAAATAACTAGAGGAGATACAACAGCAGATAGTTTCTTGTATTATTTTGAACTTTTGCAATTTTTGAAAATTCAGTGTGTTCAACAAAACGAGACCTATACCATTCTTTTAAGTGTCACTTGTTCTATCTGTGAAAAAAATTTAAAGAAAAAATTTGGAGTGGTTTTTGAGAAAATATACCTTTTTATATAAATTACATTAACTTCAAGCAAAAATTACGTAAAAAATACTAATTTTTTCAAAAAATTCTACATGACTTTTTAAAGATTTGATTTGTTAAAGCAGATTTCATTTGAGATAAAATCTTTATCTTCAATATTGTACTTTTGCAATATTTGAAAATAGTTCTTCGGAAATGGAGCAAGAACCACCTTTATTACCATCCTTTGACACATATGATGAAAAACATTAAAGAAAACATATGGAGCTGTTGTTGAGAAAATAATTGTTAAAAAATTGTCTATATTTCAAGCAAATTTACACGAACACTACTGTTATTTTTGAATATTTGTACATGCTGTGACTTCAAGATCTGTTTTTGAAGAACAGATTTCATTCGGGAAAAAATCTCTGTATTCAATATTGTAGTCGTAGGAAGATGTCAAAAAAATTTTGAACTTTTGCAATTTTTGAAAATTCAGGAATTTGAAGAAAAATGAGACAGGGGCCAGAAACAGAGGCCAATTTTGTGCAAGTTTCGAGATATTTTTGACAGAATATCACTCACCTAAATCAACTTCATGAATGGATGGCCTCATTGAAAACGGAGTGTTTTTGTACAATGCATCTAAGATCTTAGATTTGACCTGGCTAATAGTGTCACAATCCAGAACTTTGCATTGAATCTTTTCATCGAGGTCATCCTGAACCACATGGAGAGTCTGTAATAGCAAACACAGATAAATTCACAGATACTTCATGAAATATAAATTCACACATGCAAAATTAATAATAAAGAAATACAATAGATCAAGAAAATTCAATATTTATTAGTTTTTGATAAATATTTGTATTTTCAGTTTTAATTATATAAGAATATTGTAATAATTCATAGAATATTTTTACAGTATATACTCAAATATCAAATAAATAAATAATCAATAGAAAGAAAATAATTATTAACTACTGTACTATGACTATTGTGATTCACAAACATTAATGAATTCCAAAACAATGACAAAATATGCCAAATCATCAATCAAAAGATGTGCAAGTGACTAGGAAGAAAAATATTTTTTACACAAAAAAATTAACATTTTTTTCAGAGGAAAGGGATCACATACAATACATCAAACATTCAACAACTACAGATCATAAATAAAAATCCAAAAAATGAAAGAAGAAACTTAGTTCTCAAATAAACAGTGATTGTTTCTCCAAACATGTCCTAAAATAAGGAAAGTATACACAGAAATATATCAGTAACAACTTCATAAATCCATCATCACTACCACAAACAAGACAGACATCAAAAGTGAAATATCTTGTCAAAGAATGCTTCATAAGGTACTATGATTAACTATTTCCATTTATGAATGCCCAAAAATAATATAGATAAGCATTGCATGATGAGGGCCAAAGAGCCTAGTGTAAATGAACAACAATATTTGCACATCAGAGAATAATTATCAGATTTGTGTTGTTTTAGTTTTCTTTGACAATCCTAAAATGTATGACAAAGATGAAGAAGCAATTTAACTAAGCCATAATGTTCCCTTAGTCCTCATTTAGTAAAAAAGCACAATCCCTATCATGACGCAATATAAAACAGGAGCGATAAGAAAAATCAGTAATTGCTAGTATTAAGAGAAGAAGAAATAGAAAGAGGAAAGGCCTTGCAATAAGACAATCCTTATATTTCAAGCTATATTTACTCCCACAGGGTCTGTGAATTTGAATCATGGCACTGTCACAATAATCTCAAGTAATAGAAACAGTAGAAAGAATTAGAAAATTCCATGAATTTTGCAGTGTAATTAGATTCAATTGACTTCTCACTAAATGAATTTAAGTTTATTACAAGTAATATTACTATTTTAATAGGAGACAGTACCAGTATAATACTACATTCACATATTCTCAGAATATTATATTCTATCTTTTTTTTGCCACATATGGATTTTAACAATATTAGAGGATTAGTTGTAATATCAACTAACTATTTAAAAAACTAAATCTTCTAAATTTTATTAGATTATTTATACTTAATGAGTATATTTAGCAATGATGCCTTTTGCTGGAATTCGAGCTACTCACAGTTTTGGAGCACAGTATATTCCAGTATGTTTTCAGTTAATAATGAAAACAACATACATTGATCCGAATGAAAAGATGTTAAAAAATATTCTAGATGAACACCCAATTCAAAATGAAAATGTCAACATAGATGACAGAGTATATGAATAAAAACTGCTGTGTTCTTTTATTTTATTTTTTTCCATGATTCTTCATATTGACTAAAAATTTCAATTCATATAATCAATAAATATAAATGCACTATATCTTCTCTAATGAGCAGGTGCCAGCCTGTTTCTTTGATCTGCTTGAATTCATTAATTTCCATTAAATTACCATTTGTTTGTTTTTATTTTCCTACATTCAACTAATAGATGTGAAATTGGCAACCAAGGTCCTAAATAAGAAAAATCAACATGCACTATTGCAAAAGCTCACATGCACATCTTTTGATAACAGTTACTTCAATTTTCAAAGCATATAGAATTCTTCAAATCTGTATCATCGTACATTTCATGCTGCTATGTCTGATATTACACATATTACTAAACTACAAGCTAAAATATATTTTCTTTCAGATATAAAGCTATAATAAAGCTCTTTAAAGTTCATAAAGAAAAGGGTCACATTGGAACCAGAGAAGAAATAAAAGATAGATATACCAAATAACTGCTCTATAAATTACACATAACAAAAAATTAAATTAATAATACAAATAATAATAATAATGATGATGATGATAAGACACAAAATAAATATTTGACTACAATTCATCATTTCTCCCTATGGTTCCAAAAGTCCCATCATAAGCAAAAAAGCAAAGTATTTAAGCTATGGGTTTTCAAGAAGAGAATGTATTCCTCTGCACATACTTGGTACGTTTGATAAGGGATCTTTTCATAATGCGGATCCTCTTGCACAAGATGGATCGTCTAGGAGAAAAAGAGAAGGAATATATATATTTATGAGTGAACTCAAAAAATTATGAACAATTTAAGCTGAGGAATACCATAAAGCACCATAATTTGCACCATCTCCACAGAACCACATGCAGCTACTGTTTGAATGACTGCAGTTAGTGTGTTGCTCATACGATACAGCATGTAATATATAACACTTTTCTGATCAGTGAATCTTAAAGATTCAATAGTTACTATTAATTCTCATGAGAGCAGAGATGTGACAAGTAGGTTTCTTTCAAAGGAGTCCAAAAATTCAATATTCAACCATTTTTAACAGAGATGTAAGAGAGAATTTAAATATCTGAATCATTCAATTCCTTTTTGGTACATAAATATGAGTTTCAAACACTGACACACATCTGCTCCTTAAATCAGTCCTTATTTCACAATGTGCACTGAAAACTGACCAAGCATAAGCAGCCAGGCTACAATAAAAGCAATCAGAATGACTGAACAACACAAAAATAATTACTACTGTCAATTTAAAACTTCACAGAAAATAAATTTAAGGCCTAACTCATACATATTTTAATTAAAACTCTTTATGAATTGTTTGTTAATCTGGATGTGTTTAACAAACATAAAAGACAAGATAAAAATTACTTCATGTCAGATTCTGGATGATTTTTTATGTCAAATGTTCACTTTGTCATGTTTTAAAAATTAAATTGCACTTTCACAAAGTACAAAAATTGTTCAATCAGAAACATGTAGAATTTGACTCAAAGATGAACAGTGATACTCAAAATTGTGGCAGACCTTGGTGATAACCCATCAAATTCCAGTGTTTAATATTCTCACATGAATCAACTTATTGTTCCTACATTAAAATTAATTTTCTGAAAATGGGCACTTTATTGAACAATATAGAATTATTAAATATACTTTCAATTTTTTGTGCATGAAGCTGTACTTTTTTAGAGAAAAAGTGAAGTATATAATTATAATATACAATGAAAATTTCAAATTTGTATTATGTAGCTTTATGACATATTCATTATCACTTTATAAAATGATTACCACAATTTAAAAATAAATGTCCACTAAGCATAAGCAATATACAATTGAACATTATGAGAACACTTCTCAATTTAAAGAGATACTAAAAAATATTGCATTAAATTCTGCCAGTAAATTCTTTCAAAATGCACTTTTAGAAGAAATTACACATTAGAGGAAAATCTTATGATGATTTACAATAAATCCTTCAGGTACCTATTTTGTTCTAAAAATGAAACAATTATATTCATGTACCATAAAACATTCATAATATATTGAAACGTATTTCAATGATCTGTAATTTTTATTTTTATTTTTATTATTATTATTATTATTATTATTATTATTATTATTATTATTATTATTATTATTACTAAAATGATAAATTTTATAAAAGTATAACTATATTTTCAACAGAGTACACATCACATAGTGTACAACAAGTGAACAATCACTGTAAACGATTTTCACCTACAATAAACAAATGAAATGCAACAATATATTCAGTAATTTATAAATGACAAAGTTTTCTCAACATGAATCTAATGCTACAAAAAATAAAAATATACTGAAAGTTAATATTCTTACCACTACTCCATGTTCAATCTGCTCTCTTAACAACCGTTCTTCTGACAAAGAATATCGTGCATCATGAGTTATGGCATCAACTGGTCCTTTCTCTATCTGATGCTTAATTGCTTTAAAAAGTAAGAATAATGATGAACCAGCATAATCTTTTAAATAATTATACATGCAAAGTGCCATCCAGTTTGTCAACATCTTTTCGACAACTGATTCCGTTCTTCTCAACATTAGCTGAGGATGTTTGGTGCACACAGATTTATCAATTAGGCGCAGAAGTAAGCTACACAACACATCAGTGGCATATTCCATTTTGCCCATTAGTACCACCATTAGTAATGATGCAACATTCACTCTGAAAATTTCAAACAGTTAAAGAAATATGCAATAAAATTAAGAATATTATAGAATAGATTCAAATTGCAATAAAACTTACTTGTCCCGTATATTGAAAGATTTTTGTGCTTCTAAAGTCTCAATAAAAGTCAATATAAAGTATTTGTTATTAATCAGCTGTTCAAATTGCAACATTGCTGCATCATAGTTTGTTCTTGGACCATTCACTCTAATCTGTAAAATAAATAAATCATTTATGTGATATGCCATAAAATTCAAGTGACACCCATTTCACCAAAAAAATGTTTCTCTAGATCTTATCTTCTTACCTTGGGATCATTTAAAATAGGATGATCACTAACACCTGGGAAGAAGACTTTCATAATGTAATTTTTATGATCCAAGGTAGGAATGCCTGAAGATTCTAAATCTGCAGTGAGGTCAGTCATATCTGTCTGGAGTTCAGCAAATGCTAAAACCAAAAATTAGTAATGCAAGGGCAAATCTAATAAAATATTTCAGACAAGGAACATGCAATAAAGAATACAAGTCATGCTATTAAATTCCTTGTTTGCATTTGATTTGTGATCATACATGATATTGAAATATTTGTACATTTAAATCCCATGGTTGAAATGAATAAATACATTCTAAAACCGCCCATGCTTTATTCAATTACAATAATTGAATGGTATTGAAATTTGTGATAGAAATTTCTTATATTGTTTGGATACTGAACAAGAGCATGTCTAAAAGTCACTCCCTTAAATATTATATATATTTCTGAATATAAAGATCTTGTCAGTAAATGCAGCCATATGTATAAGTTACTCAAAAAAGAGTTTAATTTCTAAATGACATTTTTTATTGACATTATTTGGCACATAGTAAAAAATGTTTCTACTTGATCCAGTGTAAGTAAAATATCAGGCATGGGAGATACAAAATAATTAACACTATCCAAAGAGCTCTTAGCATTTCTTGAATATTTGAGTACATACTGTCCAAATCCACAAACTCACTAACAATAATTTCCATTTTTAAAAATCACATCATTCACTATAATCCACAATCACAACTGTTGTTAGTTCTACAACATTTGACATCTGAGAAAATATGTGCAATGATATGAATGAAACATCACAAACACAGTAACACAGTACAGGGAATCAAACTGTTAGTACGAAACATTTGGTGCAACAATAGGAGGGATAATTCTTACACACAACTTTTGTTTTTTTCCAAACTGCAATATACATTCCACACTCAAACCATAATTTAATATTTCAATAAAATTTGAAGGAGTATTCACTATAATCAATATTTTATAAAAAAACGACCTGAAATGTGCCACTTACACATTAAAATGATTTTTGAAACCAATACAGAAATTATTGTTTCCTTGAACAATTGAACTAATTACTTCACTTTCAAACATCATGTTCATTCTGTTGATTATACATTTGCTTTCTTTTGAAATAAAATGATACATAATGACTAAAATCATGCTTTTTGAATAATAATTTCAAACAATTTCAATTGCTGGAATTCTAATGAACTACATATAAAAGTGTGTGTGTGTGTGTGTGTGTGAGTTTTTATTAAACACGTGTAATGTTTCCTTGACCAAATGTTTACCTGCACTAAAAAAAAAAAATTTTTATTTGAACCTGCAATAACAGAAACATGCAAAAGGGGTCAATTCGGTAAGTAGCTTGAGAATCAGTAAAAACCAATGTACATTTTACTGTAAAATATACTAGATCAGAGAGGGATTTTCCCAACATAAGATCAAGAAAACAAACTATTTGAATTTACATAAATTCCTCTCTACTAGGTAGTAGTGTAAAAAATGAGGGTGGAATTCTCAGATAAAATACCATGTAAAATGCAGATAATTTTAAGCAAAATTTTAATAGAGAATGTATCCAGCAAGTAATGTAATACCTCAATAGCTTAATTTCTAAATCTTGCACTCAACCAATGTATTTTAAATTACTATTGTTAATTTCATAAAACCAAAAAAGTGCATTAAAAATAATCCCCCCTTTGTAACATTTTAATCATAGGAATTTCCATTTCATAACATGAACAGGCAGTAAGGAAGAAGCAGATGATGGAGGAAGCCAGTGCATGCTACACATAGGCCTCTAACCTACATGGCTGACTTTCACAAAGCAATATAATCATATCACGTTTCTATGGTTAAAAAGGTTTATTATCCTAAATGGGAACTTTTCATCATAAACTTTCACTTAACTTTCATATACTAAATATTTTTAACAAAATGTACGAAAATCATTCAAAGATTTTGATATGACATGTCATGATATTCCATTTTAGGTGTAATTCTATTATTTTATCATTTTATTTAGGTAGCAAGAGTACTAAGCAAATGGCACACATTGAAAAGCACGCCATTGAAAGGATTAGTACTAAATATAACAACGTATCAAATGCTGTTACTAGGTATTTAAGATAAACTCATTCATTACCATGCAATATTTAAAAACAGGTAAGGAAGAAAGATATGTATAATTTAACATAAACTAAATTTGAAAATTAATCTGATTAAGGTAAAGATTCAAAAGATGAAGGATTCAACAGGTCGATTGGGTTTCCAATATATATTCTTCCAAATATTTTAAAACCAAATTATGAGAAGTCCATTTTCAAGTCATTAATACTAAACCTTTCCAATAACCCAGCTGGAAAAAACCATCATGATGAAAACAATTCCGGTAAACCTACAACTATTTCCTGAAGTAAGTACACTAACGAAGAAATAGGAACTATGTTATTTAAAACCAGACTCAAATACTTCATTCTTCATTTCTTTCATTCAGATAAAGAAATGAATACACTCACTCATTTTATCTAGACATGCACACTAATAAATTCAAAATCTTCAACAGTTTGTCAATAAAATCAGAACAAATGTTGAAGAATTTTTAAATAACAATTTATAACACAAAATGCATTGTGATTTATTGTAGCACAAATCCACATTCATAACTACCATACACTCATCCCATACAAATAAACAGGTTGTGCAAATTAATATCATTGCCCCATAGTACACAATTGCCCCACAGAATGAGGCACACTCAGTATATATGAAAAACATTATGTACTAACACTCTCCAACAAGATTTGTATAATTAATTGCAAATTGTTTAATGAATTTTGATTTGATAATTCTAACAATTATGAAATTGTTTTGCATGAGCAATATGATGAAATGATTTTTAAAATTTACAAAGAAAAGTTCAAGAGAAGAGTGTATACAAAATGTTTTCATTATTTCAGCATAACATCATGTACCCAGGGAATATTGTAGACATCAATGTCAGTAAACACAATGTGTCCATGCAATAGACTACATATCATTCACTGACAAGGCTCCCAGAAGTAAGAAACGGAATGCTGCAAGATTAGTCCAACATGACATGCTGCCCAGGGTCTCAGGCTGTAAAAACACAAGATGGTTAGTGAGCCAAGCCGCCAGGCAACGAGTGCAGCAGTGCACGAGCTACAACACTAAGTGCAGTACCATGCAGCAGTCTTGGGCTGGCATTGCGACGAGGGTCCCAGGTGCACATCTGAGCGAATGCTGAAAGAAATGGAAAACAAAGTTCCCTTTACCAAGTAACAATGCAACTGTTACACGGAACTTATTGAATAAGAAAATGAGGTTTTCAATCAAGAGATTTTGTTTATTATTAAAGTTGATTGAAAAGTAAAGGCAACATGTAGTGATAATGTAATCCCATGAAGTAAAGCTGAATTTAAAACCTTCCCCTTACAATATTTCCTTAATATATTCCCCTTACAATATATTTTATTTCATTCATCAAAAATATACAATTAAGAAGTAAAATGTGTACAGTAATAATATAGCTGAGATGATCACAGGTAACATTAGAGGCAAATTTAAACATTGCTTCATATTTCAGGCCTATTAGGGAAATATTCTTTGCTTCTTTAATATTTTTATCGTATTTTATTCTTCAGAAAAATATTAAAGGAATCAAAGAAAAAACATGATACAATAAAAATACAAATTTCTAATTCTGAAGATATCTAAAAATTCAGGTGAATTATAATATCTTACATTAACAAGTCTAGGAAATAATATTTTGGTCCACGTTTGCAACTCTTCCTATCCAGAGGTATAGTTATGAGGGGGATGATTGGGGGAGCACACCAGGTGATACGATTCTCGAGGTAACACCGATTGTAAATTTGAATCTTAAATTGTATAATTTGAATGTTACATTTAAAAGTTATGCATATTAATTGTAGTGATAATTTTATCAATTAATTTATTCAACATTTTCTCTAATTATTATAAGTTATTTTTATGAAACAATTTCCTGATTGTGATTTTGATTTTTGCTCTTAAACTACACCATTATCCCTACCTATGAAATGTTGCTAACAGTATCTGGTAGTTTTAATATAAATAAATTATAAAATTATTCCCAATTAAATTAAGAAAGAGCAAATAATGTGATACAGAAATACCACTTATTTTAAGATATCAATACCTATGAATTTCAACTGGTATTACGGTTCCAACTGGTAACTAGTGTATTAGATATTATATGAAAGTTTTATATGTTGAATAATGAATGTTGCCATTTATTTCTCATTCAACTAGCATTGCAAAAATTTATTCTATCAAATTAATAAACAATATTACATAAGGAAAAACACAAATTCTCCAGAAAACCTCATGTTCATAGTTGACTTAGGGCAATGATTTAATATTCTATATTATCAATATCTACATAAAGCATTCACAAAAGAAATCAGACCTAACAACTATTTTTTGTATCAAATTATTAACTGCATGAAAATATATATTCAAATAATTATATGTTGCATTCATCTATACCCTGCTTCTAATAAGTAGGTACCACCTTACTAGAATATATAAACACAATAATACTTTTTTAAATGTTGGAACAAAAGTTCAAACATTTAGGAGCAAATCAGGTGTTGCGTGATGGAAGACACAATGGAATATATTTGAAATATATCCTTTTCAAGCTGAAAATTACCTCAGATATGTAATGCTCTCACTCATGTTTAAAATGAGCAATGAAAACAAAAATGGTTTTCACCTTACTTCTAGTTTTTAAATAAATGTTTGCAATGATAATTAATTTCTCAACCTTGTAATCATATAGCATGGATACAGTAACAAGTCTTTTGGACCCTAATTTTTCATACAGTCTGTAAACTTATTTTTACCTTACTACAAAAAATTAATATAAAAATTGTATTATAAACCACTTTAACTCATAATTTATGAATTTATACACTACTGTATCAAATGGTATCTTAAAATTCTATTCAAGTATGCAATATTTAGCAAGTGTGTTAAAATTAGCAGCATTCATTCATACAAAACAACTATGTTATTTTTGTTTGTAGGAAATTTGTATTTAAATCTAAAATACTTGCTACAACTTCACAATCTTCAATTTATGTTATTTTTCACATTTTTAGTTGGGGGATTATTAAGACGAAAGGTGGTTCAAGGTCCATGAACTTGATGGCATATTGGGAATGGAATAATTGTGTGATTTAATTGTTTTATTTCTTTTTAATTCATGACACATTTCGCTTGTCCTGGCTAAATATAAGAGTTTGGTTATTAAACAACAACTGCCTTTTGAGAATCTGTAAATGGATTAGAGGGTAATGGCTTGAAGACAGTGTAACTAAAACTATTCTGACTCATCTTGAGAGTAAATTGTACAAGGAAAATGATACAAAGATTTTGCTGTACTTGTGTATTAGTTTTACCAGAAAATATAGAAAAATAAAAAGAAATAGAATTTTCAGAAATCCAAACCCTACACCTCCTATTTATTGTGGGCATGCGAATCACACATCTACTTAATTGGATACTACTATATTTTACTGCAAACACACATTGGAATGCATCAGAATACATTATGTTCTTTGGAACAAATTTGTATTGCTTTCAAATTTAGCTTTCAAAATAAATAAATAAATAATATATATATAATATATATAAACCCTCCATTCATGACAGTTGAAAGAGCACAGAAATTGGCAATGAAAATGGACAGATATATTTAAAGTTATTTTAAAGTGAATTTATATCTTTCCAGATAAGTTTGCTTCAAATTACATAATGTTTTCTGAATAAATACCCAGAAATAAATTTTAGAAAACATTTCTTTTCATTTGGTTTTTTCTACACAATCTCAAACATATTAATACATGCCTCAAAAAACTTCTGCATTGATTAATTCTCCATTTGAGATTAAAAGAACAGAAGCAAATCTAAGAAAATGTATGATCTGCATGCATTCACAACAGGATTCATTTGTAACTGAGGGGCTACAGGAAGAAAAAAAAATTCATTCGAGCTCTACATGTCATATCAATCTTTCTGATAATAAGTAACATTTAAAAAAAAATTTGAAGAAATGTATTGCATAAAAATAAAATAAAAATATACAAGTAACAAATACTGTTCTAATGCAGTAGTGAAATAAATAAATTGCGATTTTTACTTTTGAGATCCCAGAAAATAAGTTTATGTCTCATTAAGAAAGCTCCCATATTTCCAGTTCTTAAATAAAAATTGGCAAAATACAGCAACCTATATAAAGAAACAAGAATTGTAAACAAGTACCCTACATTCATCCATAAGGGAAGTTCCCTGTAATTTAGAAAGTAGGAAAACTCCTAGCTGAGAAACATTCTGACTGCAAAATTGCAATCATAATTACTTGCTGAACATGTCAGTTGGTATTTGAAATTCATTAGAAAGTCTGTAGATGAATAAATGAGATCTGATTCTAGGATTTATTCTGTGACATATCACGAAATTAAATATCATTCTCAATACTAAGAATCATAAGAACAGAAATAACTTAAAATATTTGCAATAAATGCAATTTTATTAAGCAATTTTTATAATGTATTCATAGAAATAAATGAAAATAAGGCATTTTTGTCATATTTGAATTAAAAAATGTTCAGGATCCAATAAAAAAGTTTCAACCGAAAATGTCTTTTCTTTCAAATAAATAACTAAATAAAAGCATATTATTAAATTAATCAGTTTATGTAAAATAGGTCACTATTTCAAACTTGTAATAAGGATTTCTGTGAATTTATAACACCAGCAAGTTGTACTTCTACGGTTAAGGAAAACACTATGATATTTAAGTGAACATAATTTCTTAACTTCATATAGATAAGAATCATTATACATTATTTCTAATCTCCTTTAATGGATGACATTATCTAAGTTTATAATGACAGTTTCCAAACATCATTACAATGAAGCTAGAACTAAAATTCTTTTTGTAATGCTCTCCTTCTTTTCTCTAATTAAAAATGCCTAATATACTTGAATATAACAATAAATTCTTGCAAAATATACTTGGATGAATGCAGCATAAATGTACAATTCTTAATAATAATACAACCTAAAGCAGAACTTACCTTGTTTACATTCAGATCGCACATTACTCTCGAGTGTGTCCATTTGAATTTGAATCCGTTTATATTCACGTTCAGCTTGTGTAGACTTCCGCCGATACACATAGAGCACAATAACAAACAGAAAAACTAGAAAACATGTTCCAGCAGCAATTCCTGCTATAGCTTCAGGAGGAAATGTATATGGCTTGATCACTTCATATCGCAAAAATCCAATGGAGAATCGCAGACTTCGGCCTACACGTACAACTACTAATGGGAGATTAGTATCAGTCCTAACACCAATTTCATCAGTGCCTGCTGGCTGAACTTCAGGTGGGCTGCACACCAGCTGTGTTGATGCCAAGGATGTAACATTACAAGGTTGGGTGCCAATTGTAACATTTACGTCTGATTCATCACTGGCAAGGTTCAAATTCACTCCCTGAAATTGATAAAAAATGTGATTTCAAAATGCACACAAAACTATAACATTTCATAGTGGCCATGAATTTTTAAATAAATTGAAGCAATTTTTCTTTATATAAAAACATATTGAGTAAATTTTATTTCAATCAGTGTGAGTGTATATTTACTAATAAAAGACACAAATGAGTAGTTCTCATCCAGTTCTAACTACATACTTTTAAACATTATTATATTCTCATTCATACTGCCTGTTAATTCTATTTCTAACTAAATAAAATTCTTTAGTTTTAAGAATCAAAATTAAAACACTTTTTAAAATAACATTCACAAAAATATTTTCACAGAAATGAACACTGTATTGGGTCATGAATACTCCAGGTAGTTTTTGACTCCAAGAAATTTGGATATCCTGGTCTCTTAATTTTATTTCCAGGGTTTTTATTATAAGTCATAATGAATCAACAACATAAGACAACATTGTTGTTGTTGTTTTTTTTTTTTTTTTAAGTTTCAGGACAACAATTACTTCTTTATTCATAAGTAATTGCTATTCAACTTTATAAGCAAAATAGTTAATTTAGTGAACCAAACTGTTTCACTGTCAACAGGATAAGAGCATTAAATTATTAAATAACGTAATAAAGAATAGCTCCCTATCTTCTAGGAAATATTATGAAAAATAAAATATATCAACTTCACAAATACAGGAAGAGGATAGATAATATATAACTACTGCAAATTTATAAAATAATTATACTGAAGATCATTAATATGTCAGCAAATTTTCTAAACATAATATAAAATCCTAAATATTAGAGATCAAATATTACATGTCAGGTAGTATTGTTCCTTTTAATGAAATAAAATGGAGGAAAACATTGTTGAAGTTACACACCTCTATAACCAATGTGTCTCCTTTGTAAAGTTTGTTCATGTTTGGAAAACGGAAGAATTGTGGGTCGTCAACATACAGCAAATGTGAACGAAGATTTTGGAAATGTTTCTCCAAATCTTTAACTGATTCAACATTATCCATAATAAAACCTATTCGCAATTGCAATTGAGCATCAGTTCCATATTTTGGCATGGAGCGGGAAGGTTTATTTGGAGAGCGACGTTGTCTTGCACTAAGAAGAAACTTTCGATTCACTGGCGGAGAGGGACATTCCATTTGTGCAGTATTCAGCACACTGCAAACCTGCAATTAAAAATGTTGATGTTAAGAATTATATGCAATAAAGAAATACTATAAACAAACTAATATGAAATACACAAAGCAAAGTAATATGAAACACCATCAATGATTTAAATTTAATTCACAGTCAAAGAACATACCAAAGAACTATTTAGAAATTCTGACATATCATACAGCAAAAGAAATGTAATGAATACATACTGTTTTGTTAATAGGAGTGGGTTCTTCATCAATGTATACAACCATTTCAGGCTTTAATATTGTGTCTAGATTTGTTCCATGGACTGTTATCATTCTTCCACCTGATACAAAACTTGTGAGGGGTTTTATTTCCATTATTGTGGGGTCAAGAGTATAATTGAAAGGATTACTCTCCAAAGTACGATTAGCTCCATCAATTGTAAGGGTCAACCTCTGAACACGCATAGGTTCACTTGAACGAGTTGTGATGCACGTAATTCGACTACTTGAAGCTTGTGTAGAATTCACATGACACGGCAAATGATCTAGATATGCAGAAATACTGCTACCAATATTCAGGTATTGGCCAGTTATAGCCAATTGGGTACCTCCACTTTGAGGTCCCATTGGAGGAAATACTCCAAGTAGTTGAACATCCTGGAAAATATTTACAAATGAAAAGATCAATACAAACAATTGCAACTACCCTAATTATTACTTAAATTACAAACTTTATGGTTTGCTATTAACACCAATAGCAAAGGAGTCAAAGTTAATTTGTACATAATAAAACAGATGATCAATGGTAACTTTCCTTTCTCACATAACTAAAATTAGGAAAAAGAAATGTACGATTTTTCTTATTTATCAGGTGAAAATCACAACTATAATTCAGAGAAAAATGTTTGCAAACTTTTAAAAATAAGATTACTAATGTTGATTAAAGGTTTGATTCGAATATATCAAATTATAAGTGGAGACAAAGAGGAAAATAACTCAAAATCCCATTTTGAGCAATGTCTCTTCATTTGAACAAAATAATTTTGTTGGTTTGGTTAAGTCTGAGAGAGCAACATGTTCTCCCCTTTTTACTTCTTAATCTTACCTTGTAACTAAAATGAACAGCAGATTCCGTATATCCAGCTTCATTGCCCACCATGACAGGAGCAATAATTTCACCATCTGAAGGACCTGTGCGACAAACTATACGAACTGATACTTCATAGTGGACCAGTTCACAAGGAGTACTTCCAATACTTATTTTTCCTTTCACATCCTCTTCTTTAAGACCAAGATTACTTCCTTCTATTGTGACAAGAGTTCCCCCTTCAATAGGCCCACTGAGTGGCTTAATCTATGAAAAAGAAGTTATTTAGATGATTAATTTTCCTCACACAAATAGCATGAAGACAAGTGAAAATTAATTATCAATATTTTAAATGAGTTAATGAAATTAAAACATCATACAATATGTTTGAGCATAATTGTAATTATTTCAAATCTCCTTCAAATTATAAAACAATTTTACAAACCATATCTATTCTGGGTTTAGGGCATTCACTGACTGGAATGTGCTGGCAACTTTGAGAATAACTGCAAGTCAATCCACACCAAACACACTGGTATTTTGCACTTCGTGTTACACACAGAGAACAATCAGGATGTTCACGGTGTGATCCAAGAATGTCACATTTGTATAATGTAACATTTATAGTGTCCACATGATGATTACGATTCCAAACAATAGTAACACTTGCTTCATACTCTCCTGTGTTGGCTTCATATGAATACTATTAAAATAAAAGGGAAAATAAGAAAATAAATCTTTAAAAATATGACCGAATATTACAATATCTTTGCAATTCAGTTATGCAATGATGGATTAATTTGTTTTACTAATATCCTGTAATATATATTAAGAATATATGTTGTAAAATTATATGAAGATTATGCAAAGAACCCTTGTATATGTTCTTTATCATTATACGCGATATAGTAAAACATAAAATCAAGAACAAACTCAATAAAATAAAAACTGCAGCAAATATTAAACAATTATGATGCCAAAACTGTGAAATAAAATGCAATCTATTTCAAATAGCTAAACTTCATAAGAATTTTCCAACAAACTACAAGAATATATGAATAAACAATACTAAATTCTCAAAAATTTAGAAAATAAGATGTTTTATGTTAAAGATAAATAAAATCCCTTTCAATGAAACAATAACAAGAATAATAATACAGATACTCACAGTTGTCCTGTCACATACGATGAAGCGGTTCGATTCAACTCTAGCTGGGACCATCATTTTGGCTCCTTCAATATTCACAATACATTGGAAGCCTGTATGTCCTACTTGAGGATGAGGCAGATTATCCACCTCAAGTACAATCTCCTTTGGCACATTATTAGGAAGGAGAATGTCACCAGTTGGGCTATGAAATCTTGGGCAAAAACTAGCCCCATGCGTTGCAAGCTGAGCAGGATTCTGAAACAAAAGATCACAAAACTATCTATTAACAAACAGCTAGATATCAAGGTTTAATTGCCCATTAACGAGACAAGTACACTTAACCCAACAATTTTTAATGTTCTAAAAATCTATTTTGAAGTATATGGAGTAGAAATTTGGGTCTCAAAATTACAATTACATAAAAAAGACAATATTGTCAATATTACAAGAATTAGTTATGGAATTCGAGATTCACATCATACTTTTATCATATCAAATTTTACATATTCAGTGAGGGTCTAAAGCATAGGCTTAAAAAAAATTAGGGGCAACATTATAGCAGTATTTTCGTAAAAAATTAATATATAAAATGATATATATATGTCAGCCCGTAAATCTATCTGTCTGTATATCTGTCCGTCAACGCTAGCGGCTAAACCGTTCAGTCGATTTTCTCCAAAATTCATATTCCTCAATCTATCTGGCTGAAGTCGCGGATCCTTTAATGTGAAACCGATATTTTAATTTTTGGGGGAACTTAACATGAAGCCCCCAGGACATCTTTCAAAAAAATTGTTCCATCGCTTTTTATTAAATTTTGTGGTCGGATAGTGTAAAGATCACTTAAAGGAATGGTGCAGGTCTCATGTTCGTCAAAAACCTAATTTTTCAAAATTTTCATCTGTTCAAAATTTTACGAGTCTTCCTACAAATAAAATATTAAAGATAGAGATTTTTTCATCATGAAATATGTTCCTTAGAGATAGATTTTGAAATAAGGTCAGGAATAATTTTTCGAAAATTTGAGTACTTTTCGCGAAATTTTGTGTGAAAATACAGGTGAGAAAGAACGTGCTGTTTTAGCATCACTAGTTAATTAAAGGACACAGCCAAACATTTTTTGTTATACGTATGTTATCGTTTCAGTCCAAATGTCATGAAACGAAGTATATCGTAATAATGTGATTACTAAAAGTTTGTTTGTAACAAAACAATAAAATATAATAAAAAACTAAAATACTGGATGTAAGTACAAAACTTTGAGTGACGTGCCCTCTCCCGTTCTCCCCGCCAGTGACGCCATTTGCATATAAGGATATATGAATTCTTCCATCAGTGATATTGGATAGGGACACCAGGGTGCAGTCTCAAGCAACGTACGGACATTCGTCGTTGGCAGACAGCCGACTTACGAACAAAACACCTTCGCCCTGCACTCAACCCAGCGAGTCGTTAGCTTTTTACACAACACTTGCCGGAACCACAATGGAGAAAGGAACACAGAACAAATTCGTATTAAGGAGGCAAGGCGCATGGAGAAAGAAAAACGAAATGCTGATTCATCGTCACCATCACTGTAATTTCGGTTTACTGCCATTTCCCATCCACCTCCTGCTCGCCTGGTTGCGGGAAAGTGGCCAAAGTGTCTCCCGTTCTCTCTACCTGTTTAGTAGCGGAGTAGTCTAGTAAACTCTTCTCATAAATTGCAAATATTGCATCGCGGCCTCTCCAATTTGAAACATATTGATTTTTGGCGGAACTTTACATGTAGCCTCATCTTTTTTTCAAATTTTTCTCAAAAATGTTTCCATATTTTTTGGATTAAGTTTTTTCTAAGAACAAGTACGCTTATAAAAGTTGTTGCAGTCATTAGAGAAAGCATTTCAAAAACGATATAACCGTGTCTTGAAAAAATGTTACAGAGGAAACGGAACGAAAGTTTTAAATTTTTTTTCAGATGAAATTTGCAACTTTATAATAGTACTTTGCCGATATCTGTTATTCGAGAAAGTGTGTGTTGTTGTAATACCACTAGAATAATCCGAAAAGTTTGGAAATTGCTATGCACTTGAATAAGAAGTTCTCCAAGACATCTGTCAACCCCGTTTAGTTTGCGACGTAAATAGTTCAATCAAAAATAAATTTTATTTACTACCTGTATCATTTAAGTTACGATTCCGTCCTCCTTGCCGTATGTTATATTGATTAACTGGTAAAATATGGCATGTGTAAATAAAAACCATAAAGCGGGAGAATTAGTGAAATCCGTCTACCAGACCGACCTTTTGCTCTCTCATTCCTGGAAAATTCAGCAATACCCTCGTCACATTTAGTATCTTTCTATCAACATCGGCTCATCGGCTCGAGTGTTATTTTGACAACGCTCGAAGCTATATAACTTCAATTTTTAATCTGCATTTTCAGAACAGTGAACAGAATTCACCATGCCCTTGGCCATGCAAGTAAAATCTTTAGCTGGAAATACTTTTTGTTCTTGTATATATTTACATATTGAGGGTCTATGTTAGCTGCTTTTAAAACATTTTCGGTTTTAGGTCGAATAAACACATAAAGAGAGAGAGAGAGAACTGAGCGCAAAAAGAGTATACTGTATATATTGGGAACGAATGTAAAATCTACTACGGCGATGAAGTTTAATAAATGTCCGGACTTTGAAAGCACAATAACCATCTCATAATGTATTAATGTGTAAAGTGTGAAAATGATGTAATCTATACAGAAGAAGGTTATTAGTGATTTCTCGCAATCATTGAATGTGACGACTCACTTCATGATTGTTTTTTGCACTTAATATTTATAATGTATTACAGTTAGTAAATCATTCATATATATATTCACTGTTTTTATTAGATTAAACAAGAAAATTGGTTACTACAGAATAAATCAAAACGTATTTTAACATTGAATGCGTAGGCTTCTGCGGCCGGAGTCAGTCTAATTCGCCGCCCGGGAGAAGCCATGTCCTAGGAAAGGTTAGCCCAAGGCTAAAGCAGGAAAAATGCCTTCCGGTCAATTCGACCTAAGGAAGCTCGCAGCACGACGGTCGAAACGTTGGCATCTTGGTCCAGGCGCAGCGTAGCTGGGATAGCCAAGCACATATAATACTAAGATAAATAGCTCGGATAGCCAAGCAATATATGATATTTTAACATTATTTGTTCTATTTATGGCGAAAAATGTATAACAGTGTGGTGAACGGCACTCACCATGCAAACGTTCACTTAAGCAAAATTGGCACACATGTTCTAGAGCTAATGAAAAAGGGGGCACAAGCAATGAAGTTGGCCTCATTCTTGTTTTAGGCTGCGCACGCCTATGATTAATGCATATCCCAAGCGCTGCTAGTCAGAGATAATTATCAGTAAATACATTTGTTTTAGATCGTTTAATGCGGGTAATGATAGTATCCACCCCAGAAAGTGTATTATATTTATTTATCTATTTTACATCAGTAGATAATTAAAAATGAATATGACGTTTGTGGGAGGAGTAGAATCTACAAGAGTAGTAAATAACAATACTAGTATAAAGCAAGTTGAAAACATTAAAGAGTTGGACTGAAGTAGTTTCATATTACAAGATTGGACACTACTTGCCAACAATCTGAAGAATTATTTTTTCGCCGATATTTTTAAAGCGTACCTTTGGAGAGAGTTGCTTAATTACAATTCATGGTCAATGTTTATGTGCAGTATTTTAGACAATGGAGTTTCCATTCGGATAGCACCAATACAATTCCACCACGCAATTAAATTTAAATAATGTCTTACATAATATGAACTTCAATTATTTCCATTGAGCTTTCAAGAGAAGCTGCAAATATTAAACACATCGAGGAAACAGCATTCTAAACACTGGCGGATTCGGAGGGGGGCACGGGGTAATGTCCGCCTAGAGTTTTCATTTACCTTCTTTTAATTGCCAAAATTAATTTAAATATTAATTTATATTGGAATTATGTAATTATTCAAAGAATATTATTATACATATCTACGGTACATACATAATATACAATATAATAACAAATATGTTTATAATTTAACTAAAATCTAGGATGCCCCTCCTCCAAGTGATGGGCTAGATCCGCCACTGATTCTAAATAACCGGAATTGAAACAAGTTTTCAGTTGGATTATGCTTTTTTGTCGCTGTGTTTTTTTTTAATAAGAGTGAGTTGATGATTTGTTACAATAAAGAGTACAATCAGTTTGGTTTCATGTTATTCATTGTTAAATTTTGTTTCGCAATTTTAATGACAGGCAACGAGTGACTACAGTTGTAATTATCTATAATTAATTAAGCTGTCATTACACCTTCCGAAAAGTAAAACGTTTTCAGTTTTTAAACGTCAAAGGCGGAACAAAACATGGAAATCCTTTTCTTTACATTACACTCAATGGTTTTCGAATGAACATAAGAGAGCCGTATGCCAGTGATGTTAACATCTTTGTGTAATGATGTAAAGAATAGATACGACGAAAACTCGGAAAGCGTTTGCGATCTTTGCAAAAACATTTGACCGAACATTTAGTTATTTTCTTCGGTGCCAATCTGAAATCCAAGAAAAGAGAAACTGAGAATGTGCGGGTGAACCGCATTGAAACCGCTTCGACGATCGCGACCAAAACGGAGTGACTCAGTGGACGCATGAGGATCTTCGCTGGCGGCAGTGGCGACGCGGAACAGCGAGCGCCTGGACTAGGGACAATGCCCGCCAACAGAGATCAGCACTGGTCTACTTTTTCCCCCAGCTCCCAGTTCTAGTGCAATTTATTTTCTGGTGCCAAGTGTTTCAACGCGCTTAAAATATATTCCACATGTAGAACAATTTAATCAAAGCAGTATGTTACACTTCAGTTTTTTGTTCCCGAAAATATTGGCCAATAGATTGTAGAAGAGAATCGAAAATAGATAACTTAACACGATAACTTAATTTTCAATCAAGATTTTTTTTCATGTGCGGACATTTTCAGATTCGGAAACAAGTAAGCATTTATTGTTGTAGATTGCAGTTATCATCGTAAAATATACTTTTAGATGCCAGTGAAATGGGCAGGTAGATTGAACGTTTGGCAATGAATGATATTTGAAATAATTCTCAACAATGAAGTAATTTTGATCAATTGGAATTTTCGGGGGAAAATGAATATTGCAGTTTCGTAAATTTTACTTCATCGATCCCCTACCCACTTGCAGAACAGGCCCAACAGACACAGAGCTGTGATGTTGGAGTAACGACTTCGGGCACTCTGTTCCAAAACGTGGTGCATTCCAAGTCAAATACAACATAAAATACATTTTTTTGCTAGGCCTTTGATCCATGAAATAGGGTGACCAAAATCACTTATACTATTAACGCTAGTCACTTCTCATTTTCAGAACCATTTTGAAACTTACTACAAAGTCAACTACGTACATTTTGAGCCTACTCACTCACTATATTGTCGTTCGCTTTCATACCCAATGGCCTTCCCGCGCTACTCGTTCCTGATCACTAACACCCTTCCTGGGCGCCCGCCGCCCGCCGCCCGCCGCCCGTCGCCCGTGGCGTGCGCCACCGCCCCCCCCCCCAGTCACGGCAAGGTGTCCCCGACCTGTCGCCCGTGGCTTGAGCTGCTGACCGCCGTCGGCTGGAGATTGGCCGGCCGCTAACGAGGAGCGGCGCGACCGGGAGTGGAGGCGGCCTCGGTCCACATAAAAAGCACCTGTTTGGACCTCAAGTCCGCGCCCCGGGATTACAGAGCTCGTTTTATGACCACCAGCTCAAATTGGGCGCACAGAGCCCTCGCCGTTTCATTAAGTTTCCTTCTTGCAGCTTTCCTGTTCAAAAAACAAAAACAGAAAAAAAGGAGTGCGCAAAAAGGCAAGTATTTGCTTGCGTGGAGCCGCGCCCCGGCAGCCGCCCCACTGTCGCCTATCCCGCGCGCCTCGCCTCGCGCGTTGGGCTCCGGCGCTTTCCAAACTGCGCCCTGGACGCGCGTCCGCTCCTCCCCCAACTGATGGCCGGAGGTGACAGGCGTAGCAGTAGCGATGGGAGGAGCGAGACAGCACGAGGCCGCCGGGAAGGGTAGCCACGTGTCATCAGCCTGCAGCCCCTCGCTTCACCTCGCCTCGCCTCGCCACGCTCTATCGGCTTCTCCGTCGAAAGCGGAGTGACAGCGGGAGGTGAGGTTGTGGCGATGCAAAGTATGTCGTGACCAAGGGAGAAGCGAGGAGGGTCAACTGGGAGCAGCGGTGGTGGAGAACGGCGTGAAGGTTGGCGACGGTAGCAAGAGCGATGTGCGGGAGGGAAAGTGAAAGCGAAGGAGTTGAGAGCCGACAAGTTGTAATGGCAGTAACTGTGTGGACGGGGTGGAGGCAGGCGGATGGCGGTGGCCGGGGCGGGGGCTGGG